TTTTTTTTTTTTTTTTTTTATCTTTTAGAGGGTGGTCTTGTATTAATAAACCATTATTATTATATTAGTTGAAAATGGTCTCAGAACAATATTATTGGTTATTGCAATAACTTCTTGGAAATTGTACCGTCCAGTAGAATTTATAATTGAAACTGGCCAAACTTCAGCTAATTTTAACATCATGTGCAACTGGCAGGAAAACTAGCAAGAAAACTTCCTGAAATTCTGATACTGTTGGTCACAATTAGGCCTGTCATAATAAGCAACAAATCAGTTAATTGCATGATAAATTAAAACTAGCTTAATAATTTCCATCTGCAAAATTTATTGTTTTTCTCATTCTCCCTTCAGTCTGGTTCAACCAGCCTTCTCCCCTCCCCAAGGATGATTTTGTTTACAGAGATTTCATAGTTAATTTTATGTGTTGTTTCTGTTTTTTATTTTTTTTATTTTGGATGTTTGAAATATTTTAGATGTTACAATGTTCATTAGAATTTAAAGTTAATTAAACTCTTGCATTATTACGCAACTACCATAAAATTACTTGAAAAAGGTCTCAAAACAGCAATGTTATTGTTTATCACAGTAACATCTGGGACAATTTATCATCTGGCAAATGTTTTTATTATGACTGTTCTATTTCTGATAAAGTGAAATTAGCAAACACTTGTGACTTAATACGTGAATTCATACTCGGACAAAAATGGTGGACAAAATATCCACACAGCCTTAAAGTGTGAAGTATTTAGCTAAGAGCATCTTGCTTAGTCTGAACACATCAAATGGAGAGGAAAAGCTGGCTAATTGGTTCTTAGAAAAAGAGGCAGCCCTACGATAACACAGCCATATTAATCAAGGGGCAAACGGGAGTTTGTGAAAGGCGCTGCAGTGATGTCAAGTGCTCCCATGTTCCCCAAAAAACAAGAGAAATAGCCCAGAGCCAAAACACAGAGACCGAGATACGCTAGCTTCCTTCTTCCCTGTGAGCGAGCTCAGCCAGAGTTGTGAGTTGTATCTTAAGTTATTTGCAGCTGGAAAGACAGCATGGAGGTGAGGAGAGTCAGACAAAAAAGATCGAACTCCATCTACTGCGTTCACCGTGAAGCAGTTACGTGGGTCGCTCCCCTGTTTTGTGTGACGTCAGTCAAGCCACTTATTGTAAAAACCACAGCTTAAAAAAAAAAAGACAAAAAAAAAAAAGTTAGAGCGGAGGGCTTGTGAACAAAACCACACATGACTCATCTGTCTCTATCAACATGCAACTGGTGATGCGAGTGAGCCGTGGCACAGGCGACTCATCACCAGAAAACATTCCCCAGAGCGGGAGTAGGTGTTGCCATACGCAAGAAGCGAAAGGGAATCCCATCGCGACACACCCGTGTTTTTGAAGCTTAGTTTCCCATAAGCGAAGGCGCTTTGTGGTGACGTTGCAGAGTCCTACCCTGCATCAAGTTCAGGGGGGAAAACGCCTGGGACATCTAGGGCTGAGTTAAGAATGGAGATAAAGTGTTGACTGAGTGCAATTCTAGACAGGTTTCTCAGCAAAAAAGAAGCTATGAGGGGATAAAAGTAAGAAAAATCCTAGCAAAAGAAGCAGTTATAAGGACTAAAGTTCAAAACTTATTTTTATTCATTGGCATTCAAATTGAGGTCTGGTACTGCAATTTCTGTTGTGATATCATAAAAGAAAAGTTTTATTTTTATAGTTTTTATGCGTCTTTTAAAAACTGATTGAAAATGCACCACAGTTCTGTACAAAGTGCTATACAAGCAAACTAATATTTATTACCTCAACCTTTTCTTGAATCCTTAACTACCACCTCAGTAAATACTCCCCAAATTAAAATTTCCAACTTCCTAATGAACAAAAATCTCCAGAAAAATCCACCAGCATGGCTGTCATTCAGGTCAAACTGACAGCTCCAGAAAAAATCAAACAAAATATTAATTTTCAACAACTTCAAACTCAAATATCTCATACACACAATTCTGCAAAACTTCTTTCAAGGAGCCTGTGGCACACTGTGTTTGACAGCAAATACAGGGCAAAAATAGCCAAACGGTTAATAAGCTTGACCTTTTGGCAAAAAAAAGGAGCACAATTGCTTTAGAAACCATTACAAGATATAAGTATAGCTAAATGACTCTTTTATACTGCCATCAAAGTAATAAATCACACTTGCTGCACCATTACAATAACCTCCTGTAATCCTACAGGTAGATGCGTGCAATGTTTCACACCATGGCGATATGTACAGCCTTCATTCAGCTATTATGAAGTATGGAGCCTCATACTGTACCAACAATCAAATCCATCCAGCCTACCTAGACGGGTGCAGAACGATGCGATTTCCGTCGCCTTCAAAAATCAAAAAACAGGATCCGAACAACGGCCACAATCAACAAGTATCCGCCCATAGACAGAAGCAGGCAGTCGATCAAAGTTGTCATTCCCATGAAGTGCGATGCAAAGCAGCAGCAGTAGCAAGGAGAGTAGGAGGAGGAGAGGAAAAAAGAGAGACGCTCAGACAGACGAGAGGAGGTGGAGACGGAGAGAGGGAGACTACGTTACCTTGTGGATGTGCCCTTCCTCACATCACAGATGCTGCATTTGAAAGCCTCGGCGGTGTTCTTGAAGGTGCACACGCTACAGTCCCAGTAGCCGTCGTCCGCCGTCTGTTTGGCTTGTCTTTTTGGCCTTATAAAAAACAACAACAAAAACAAAAAACTATTAAGGGTCAAGTTGGGTTAACAAATGCCACCAACACGTTTCATTAATTAACAACAGAACAGAAGAAGACTGTGACACACGGGGAGCCCGCTGCTCAATATCCGAGCTGCTCAAAACGGGCACAAAGGTATAGCGTTGTTGTCATTATCACCCCGGGTTCGAGTACCGGCCAGGGAGAGCTCCTTTACGTATCCACACAAAAACGGGCGACTATCCACAGCGTCCAACTGTATCGTCAGCTAGGCTAGCAGTGGGGCTGAGAAGCGCTGCTATATAAAAAAAATTCGGTATAGAAGCTTAGTGGGTCGGTACGCGAAACCGATACCAAACAAAGCCAATTTCGACATTGACCCTCCAAAAGGCTTCGTCGAAACAGAGTAGCGTTACATGGAATGCCCGGCGTCTCCTCGTAAAAATTTCTCTTTGTCTGTTAAGTGACTGGCTCGCAGGGAACGAGAAGCCGCCATAGTGACTGCACTATTCTAGCTAGCTGTGGCATACCCAACTGAAAAGGGGGAGAAACGATCTCTGCGTGAGAGAAACGCATCCAAATCTCGATCCCAGAACGCACAAACCCGAACCTAAACCGACCGAGGGCGGTCGCATTACCTGGTAGGGCTCTTTTTGTCGCCCATGGTGACGAATAATCCTTGAAAATGAGAAGAAAGGGGGGCCTTCCTTTAATTGTCAGTGAGTGAAGTAGAATCCAGATAGAGCCGCTGCTGAAGCTGTTGGCAGACAGGCTCCACTCAGCGCTGGCTCGAGGCACGGCATAGCGACTGACTGCACGTGGTCATGTGACCAGGTACTGGCCAATCAGCGGGCGCAGAGGTTTAAAAGTCTAGATGGATATTTAGTATCTATTTTAATAACTACTAGAGATATTTGACACTTCTACTCTGTTTAAAGGGAGGTTTCAACTGTTTTGACCAGATTTTTAAGTGTTTTGACAACTTCAACTTTTTTCATGTATCCATTTAACTTTTTCACATGTTGCAACTACAAACCTCAAAGGACTTTGTGGAAATTTAATGTGATAAACTAAGGCAAACTGATGCATTGTTGTTATAAGTACAAGGTAAATGATGTGGCATTTCACAGTTTTACAAAGTAGTTATAAAAGTATGGTGTGCATTTGTATTCATCCTCGTATTCTGTATACAATCAGTTGCAACCAGCTGAGCATTTACTCGGGGTGGCAAGAACAAGAACCAAGGACAGAGCTACTGAAATGGAGTTACAAGGCTTTTTTTTTTTTTTTTTTTGTTTTTTTTTTACTTTTTTTGTCCGTCTTTCTGGAGTTATCCAACTCCACACAATAAAAATAATGATGTTTCAACAACTAGTTCCAGAAATTCACAAACCAGAGTTAAAGGGAAACAATGAGCTCCTTCTCTAAGAAAGAGAACTAATTTTTCAGGTTTTTTGGAGTATGTTCCAGACTTTACTCTGAATGAGCTGCAGAGATCCACATGAAGCCATTGAGAATGTGTAGCAATATTATATTTTTACTGATCCTCTGTCCAGTCTGAATGAATGAGCTTTCTCCAATTTTGTGAAGAAAAAATGAGCAGAAATGTCTTCAAAACTGTGAAAAGTTCAAAGAGTATGACTGGTTGCACTGTAGCTGTATGTTGCAGTGCAACTCCATTATAGTCTAGAATTGTAGTCTGCCTTAATTTTAACAATGGGAGCAGAGAAAGTGGACAAGGTTATTCAGTCCATGTTGGTCACTCTTCCAAAAATTGAACTAACATTAACAGCCATCTTGTTCACCTGGGCACTGGCAGGAGTATTTTCCTGTAAGCTACATAGCGTTGAACTGGTGCATTACATAAGCCATGGCCATGTTGGTAAAATTTAAAATTTTACCAACATTAGGTAAAATCTTAAATTTCAACAGAGTCCACACCTCCAGGAAGCAATCGTTTCTCAATAACCAAGAGCCCAGATCATTTGGACAAAGCAAATACGGTAGAGCAAAAGGCTAGCTTTTAACCAGGCTAACAATAAATACCAGATGGAGTTAATTTGTATTCACTGGAAAAGCTCCTGAATATTTTATGTATTTTTATTTTCCAAGAAAGAACAACTAATCTGAGCATATTGTTTAAATCACAGTGGTAAAGGGAAGATAGGTGTGTAGTAAAAGAGACATTTAGAAACATTTATTGAGAGCAGCTGGTCCAAAGGTGAAAGAAGTGCAGATACATTACTCCCTCACTGACTGCACCCTCTGAGATGGGGCTTACATTACTTGGAAACAATTTTACAAGGCAAACACTTAGTCCTCATTCATTATTTATAAGAGGTGTGAAGCTCCAGCAACACAATGAAACAAGGTGCTTCTGGCCTGCTGTGAAAGAACTTTAAAGACTCTTGTTTTATCATGGAAAAAAGGATGACTGAATTCCCATTCATGCCAGTGGGGAAAACTGCAAAATTGAATTCCCTGGAGAGGGCTTAAAGAAATTGCTAGTCACTGTCAGGGTATTGTTTTATCTAAAATTCAGTACCCCTCTCAATCTGACTGTGACGCTCATCTTGAGCAGAGGCTTTGTTTGAAGTGCGAGGCGGACCTGAATTCCAGTTCTTACAAAGAGCTGCTGCAGAAGAGTCTGGTCAATGAAGATTGAGGTGATACTGCTTATGGGCATGTATGATGTAACATTTCTCTAAAGTGCTGAGAGGTGCCAGGTCGGGCCTCTGTTGCAGTCAAAGCACCAACATCAGTATCGCTGCATTATAAGACAACTGTCTTCACACACATATCAACTTAAGTGACATCTTTATGGAGAGGAAAATAGTCTCAATAACTGTGCGTGTATAATGTTAGATTTATAATCAGTGTAAGCATTTTTGTAAGCACTTACGTAATTTTAAGATAAATGGAAAAGCAGCTAATGTTCCAATAATGTTGAAAAAACAAAATTTGGCAATTGCGTTGTTTCCATTAAATAAAAATTGCAATTAAAATCACACGTTAAGTTTGTTCACGCAATATGTCACTAAAAAACATGATCCACTTCCTGTCATCTTCTTGCTCGTGGTTTGTGTCAGTAGCTTAAGACTGCTACGGTAGCACTGATGGAGATATTTAACCAGTCTTCCAAGACGATGTTGGACATGAAGGCCTAATTTGTCTTCAATGTTTTTGTTATGTCAAAACCAGGACTTGGGCCAGATTTTAGAAAGGCTTTACAGGGGGCCAGGGACCCAAATTTTGGGGGGCCTTGGGCTTCCACTGGACATACATTTACGTAATTTGACATTTCTAAAATAAATTTGCTTAATGTAAAATCTCAATAAAGTGTTCTGGTGGTAGGATGAGGTGGTTTTCTTGGCCAGATCAAAATGGGTTTATTGGAAACAATTTTTTCACATCACGAGTCACATGATCAGCAACCAGATGTTTGAACAGCAGAGTCAAAGGGAGGTGGTAAAGGGGCTTTTCAGCTAGTCGGCAAACACTTCTCTCTTCCCAGCGCAAAATAAAGTCTTCATGTTGACCCAAAAACTTGTGGTTACCATTCACCTTTAGTTAACCTCACTTTCACTTCCAAGTCTAATACAACTGTTCTACCAAAATCTACAACCGGGTTGTATGAAATTGATGAATTTGTGAAAGCTTTTGTGACATGTGCCTGGTACTGCTCAAATTTTCTGCAGAAGGCAGAGTGAAAATAACACAGTCTTAACTTTCTTCATATTTGACTCTAGGAGATGGAACTTAGAAAATTCTGTTCTCAGGGTTAACCGACACAAGGTGGTCCAACTGTTCACCCAGCTGAAGCTTAAACACACCGATACCGTGCTTTGTTCTTCATAGCCATATTTTTTTTTTTTGCATTTTGTCAACTTCAATGTATTTTAATTGAGATTTTACATTTCAATACAAAGTATTTTATAGCTACAGAGTGAAATTGTACACTGCTTCATAAAACAAAATCTGAAAAGAGTGGCAGTCATTAGTATAAAAATCTCCTGAGTCAGTTGTGACCAGGGTAATTTTTCCCATTTATGATGATAATATATATTGTTTTCTTTTACCATTTTATTTCCATCCATCCATCCATCCATCCATTTTCTTCCGCTTATCCGGGATCGGGTCACGGGGGTAGCAGCCTAAGAAGGGAGGCCCAGACTTCCCTCTCACCACCCTCTTGTTCCAGCTCCTCCGAGGGAACCCCGAGGAGTTCCCAGGCCAGCCGAGAAACATAGTCCCTCCAGCGTATCCTGGGTCTTCCCCGGGGCCTCCTCCCGGTGGGACGTGCCTGAAACACCTCACCAGGGAGGCGACCAGGAGGCATCCTGACCAGATCCCCGAGATACTTCAACTGGCTCCTCTCGACGCGAAGGAGCAGCAGCTCTACTCTGAGTCCCTCCTGGATGACCGAGCTTCTCACCCCAGTTTTTCCCTGGCAAACTTTTTCTAAGGGAGATCCCAGACACCCTGCAGAGAAAACCCATTTCAGCCACTTGAATGGGTTCACGGCTGAACGCATTTCAGCCGTGATCTTGTTCTTTCGGTCATGACCCAAAGCTCATCACCATAGATGAGAGTGGGAACGTAGATAGACTGGTAAATCGAGAGCTTCGCTTTTTGACTCAGCTCTAGGGTTGCCACCTTTCAGAAATCAAAATAAGGAATGCCCACTAA